CTCACCATAGCAAACTATGAGAGGCTGAAAAAATATGCACATTGATCATTAGATGCTTCATTAGGTAACCCACATATCTGTCTCTGTCTCTCTCTCTCTCTCTCTCTCTCTCTCTCTCTCTCTCTCTCTCTCTCTCACACACACACACACACACATACACACACACCACACCACACACTTACATCAAACACACACACACACACACACACCTACATCATACACACACCTACACACACACACATACACATACACACACACCACACCACACACCTACATCATACACACACCTACACACACACACACACACACACACACATACACACACACCACACCACACACCTACATCACACACACACACACACACACACACCTACATCATACACACACCTACATCATACACACACCTACACACACACACACACACACACACACACCTCTGCAAAGCTAGTTACTTAGGCACAGCTCCAGAATCTGGAAGTGAGACCCCGCCAGGGGCCAGAAAGATGAGAAGACTGGGCGAATGTTAATATCTCCCCATCCCCATACAAACAGAGTAAAGGGGGCTCACAGAAGCCAGAAGCCCCAATGTTCAGGCATTACCCACACTGCTTCCAAACACACCACATTAAACACGTCTTGGGCTTCGCTTTTCATGTACCCAGTGCCCTCTTTTCTGTTATAGACCACCTCTTCCCACCTCCTATGACTTTGGTAGCATTGCCCTTCAAATGCAAGGGCCTTTGTGTTTCAAGGCCCAGTGGGTGCCAGGCTCAATAGGATAATGAACTAAGAGAGGATTGGAGCTGGGAGCATCCTTTCCCCTTCCATGCAGGAGGAAGTCTACGCTTTGCGAAAGAGGGATGAGGACAGTGGATGACGGGGAACAAGCTAAGGAAGCCGCGTGCAGATCCACAGCGAGAGGGAGGCTATGCATCAGGGTTGGTTGTCGAAGAAACCTCCTCCCAGCCAACCTACCCTTGGCCACCAGTTCTAGAACCCAACAGAGTCCCAGCCCACTGCGCTATTTTAGAGCTGGCTTAAGTTGAGTTTCCTTCATTTGTTAATGGAAAAAGTCTGATGAGAGTATCCAAAATCTGTAGAATTCTAGAGAAAGAGCACACATTGACACCCAGAGAGAGGAGAAAGAGGCTTTGCTGTTAGAGGGGAGAACAGTCAAGGAACAACAAGGAAGGAACCGGATGGGTCTGACTGTGTGGAGGAGCCAGGGTGGGATTGGGGTCTGGGGCTCTCTATACGGAGCCTGAGGTTGTTCAGGGATCAGGGGCTGAAGGGCTCCCCTGGAAGACCCAAGTCAGATGAAGGAGGAGGAGGCCCAGCGTGGGCATGGCAGCTTCCTATGTCATCTCTTGTCGGATGTGTAATGTAGGATAAGTCTCCCCTGTGGAAGTAAACCTCCACCGTGCATTCATCTTAATTTGGTTTCCATTCTGATTTTTATAGTTGATTTAAAAACACAACCCGGGGAGCTCTGCTTTGAAGACAAGTTGTAATCTCCATGCTGTCTAGACTCTCCGAGATGCTGGGCTTGAAGGGAGCCAGGACTTGCCTGCGTGTGCACAGGACTCCTATGAAGAACAATCAGAGGGAAAAAAGGAAATGAGAAACGACTGTGTGTTTGTTTTGGGCTCTGCACCGACGGCTGGCTTCCTGAATACACAAGAGGTTTAATCCTATAAGATCCTGGAAAGAAGTCTGCTTTGTGAACAAAGAGACCGGGACTGAGCCAGGGTGAGCGGCTGGACACATTTACTCTGGCCTGCAGCAAGGCACAGACAGCCTTCTTTGATTCGCTCCTGTGCGGTTTTCACAGCGCAGTGTTGCCGGGCCGAAGGCAGGCCCCTCCCTGCCCCATCCCCATGTGCGGGAGCCTCAAGTTCTATGTTCCAAACTTAAATGCTGAGGGCTCAAATTTGTGTTCAAAAAGCAAAACTCACATTTCAAGGGAGGAAAAATACAAGTCTGAACATCAGGCAAGCTCTTGCTGATGACAGACTTCATTACTTCATAACTCTAGGGCTGGTGGGAGCAAGTCACAAGGTCAAGGGCCCAGGCTCACTGCTGTTGGAGCTGGCACAGCCAGAACCAGTGTGGAACTCAGCAGCCCCCTCTGGAGGGAGCCCTGGATGGAATAGAAAAGAGGGAGCCAGGGCTTCAGAGGGAGGAGCCCTTGTTCCTCTCTCCCCCCCTCTCCCTCCTCCCTCCTCTCTCCTCCCTCCCTCCTCCCTCCCTCCAGATGGAAGGTGCTCCAGAGTGAAGAGGACATCAGAGCAGATTAAGAAGTAACGTAACCGCCCCATAAAGCAACACAAAAGGAAGGATGCTTTCCAAGTTTAGTATTTCAGAAGATATGTCCTCTCTTAAAAAGTTTGCCTCATAACAGGAGTGGATGACACCTGGGGGAACTGAACACACCTTGGGTTCATTCGGGAACGTAAATATGGGAGATGAATTTTGAGGAGGGTTAAGCTGAGTGAGAGATCACATAATGAAATATGACAAGGGTAGTGGGAACAAAAAGGCCTAGAACTATAGGCAGCCAAATGTTTTCTGGGAAGGTCTGCTAGATTGAACAAGGGATACGTATTTTACTATTTATGTAAATTTTCAAAAAATGCAAATGGTTTAGTCCTATGTATTCTTAAGATGTACGGGCAAATGCAATGTGAGCATAAAATCATGCAAGGGACTGATGAATATCAGACCTAAGGCTGTGGTTATCTCTCATTGGCCAGACAGCAGGATATTGTGTGGGCGTGGGAACTATACAGTGGTTTCCACTGTTTGTGATATTCATTGTTTCAGCTAGGAAGAGGCAACTAAGTCTTTGCCAAATTATCCTCCACAGTTTAAATTGAAACTTTTTTTTGAGAATTTTTATACTGCATTTGAACCATTTCTAATCCAACAAGAGATGAGGGCACTAATGATTGAACCCTCCCTCATTCTAGTGAAGGAAGCAATTGCGGGGGGATTGTGGGTGTGGGGGCACAAAGGTCAGGTACTGGTGTTATGTCGTGCTTGACTAACAGAAAGGGTTCACGCATGTCATTTACAGGTGGTTTAGCTGATGTATCAAACCTTCACAGTCTACGGCTCCCTCTGTGCAGGCAATGCTGCTGAGTCAGCACAAGTGGGGGGAGGGTGTGGGGGGGTGAGGCACTCCAGGTAAATGATGCTTTCTTTCCTAGTCTTTTTAAGTTTGCCAAACTGTGTCTTCAATGTCAAGGAGAAGGAGGAAGCCCTCCATGTGCCATCCTTCGCGGAGTGTGGCTAATTCAGCAGCAGGAGCCAGTACTTGGGGTTAGAGGGATGCTGAATTCCATGGCAGCCGTCCTTCCTCCTTCCACATTTACAAGATGAAAAATGTGAGCGCCATACTATGAAAAACCAACTCTCCCCATTCATGTCTCTGGATTTGCTGTTGGTTAAAATTTCCAAATAGCCTTGGCCACACAAAAAGCTTCCAACCATCTAAATAAAAAACCATTTAAAATCCTATGCAGGACATTTTATGAAGTATATGTGGCCACACCTGTGTTTAAAAGTTCATTTTTGTAATTGCCAAAGGTGTGCAAGGGGAAAGCGTGGCTCATTTCCATATGTTACTCATCAAACTGCAAACGGTGGGAAACCTTGTAAGCATGTCACAGCCACCACAAGGTCCATGCATCCTGTTCTTATGATGTTCTGATTTCTCAGGACAGGACTGTCCCATATAGAGAAGGAAGTATGTCCATCTTTTCTCTACATAGTATGACTTGAGATGTGTCATAAAATCTATGCACACTTTCTCCAAATTTACCCAAGTAACTAAATCCCCTTACCTGCTTTGTGTTTAGATTAAAACGTTCAAGGAAATTACAAAAATGCAGCCTGTTTTCTGGATGTGGCCCATACTTAGTCACGATTCTACGTGCCACCCAAAAGCTCACCAGATTAACTGCTACTGAACTATATTGCTCCTGATGGTTCCAGTTTGGTGTAGACTTTATGACTGCAGCAGACAAGCCTCAGTCTATACACACCAAATTATGAAAGACAGGAGTGTGATATACATGCAGTGCAACATGCAGACATTTACAGATGCAGGGTGTACACAAGAAAGGGAGAGAAATCGAGAAAGATTTCAGGCAATGGTCACTCTGCACAGCGCAGCACTCCAACTCCAGGACGGCCAGTATCGCAAGAGTGACCAGGTCCACTGGGCTAAACTAGATGTCAGTCACTAAAAGCAAAAGCCAACTTGTAACTTAGCAGTGTTTATTTGTAAAAAGGGGAAAGAGTGGGACGGGAAGAGCCGGAGAAAGGAATAGGACAGGAAGGGAGAGAAAAAAGAAGGTAGGGTATTCTCTGGCCTGGCTCTACATTTCTCAGGCAGTAGAGAGGGGAGATGCGCCTGAGAGAAATAAACGGAAAAGAAAGCCGGGGAATATAGGAATGCTGACTTTACCTTGTCTGCAGGAGCATGGGTATTCTCTGTGGGAACCGCCACCCTCAGTAGTTTGTGTTTCCCGCTGTGGGGGAGTAGAGTAGCTCTCTCAAAACAGTGATGTCAATCTTCCAATACTGAGCCCTTCCCCCTTTGGGGGAAATAAAATATCTAAACCCTAAGTGTGGGCAAGAGCCTGGCCTGTCAATGAAGGTCAGGGCCTGTCCTCTCAGGGATGAGAGGAGCTCAAGTTCCCAGGAACTCATCGCAGCCCATCCCCTGCATACCATAGCGTATACATTGTTTTCTGTTGCAAGTACAGGAATAAAGAGGTCACCCTGATTAGCTTTAAGATAAACCTATGATATAGATATATAGGAGGATATAGAGATGATAAGATAAAAGGGTAGATTAATGAACCTACTTTTAAAGAACAACTTGTTTAAAATGTTTTACATTGATATAGATTTTAGTTTATGTTTAAAATGTTTTACATTGGTATAAATTTTAGTTTATTGATACAAACTTGAAATTTTGTTATACTGTATATATATATATATG